TTTGTAGAAAGAGATTTACATGAGTTGTTGGCTGGTCATGAGCCTGTTCAGGAAGGATATGATAATGAAAGAGGTGATAGGGTAGAAAGTGATGACAAGTTAAGTGATGAGGAGGAAGAAATCAACCAGGCTGTACCATTCAAGTGCATCTGTGGGAAAAGGCATACCTCACTCTTCATGAACAAGATAAACCAGTGAATGTAAGAATACAGCCAGAGCCATTGAATCCAAGGGACCCAAGTGCAATAGCAATTGATCTAGACTATGGAACTGGATGGCCCCATGTTGGTTATATATTGCTTCTGAACTATTCACTGTATCCGCACCCATTAATTGCTGCAAGGGATGTCGTGGATGTCTAATATGTTCAGCATATCAAGTATAGGATTGACTTTTTTAAAATAGGATTTTATCCAAAACTTTTTGCAGAGACATGGTTAGTGCATGGGAGACTTAAGTGGTAGGAAAAGCATGAGTGTATGTTGACAGATGTTTTTTTATATAAATAATAGCAACTAACTATGTTTAGCAAGTTATTGAAGTGCATTTATTTCAACTGGCTAACTTTTTAGATTTTTTCCAGCATTTTTTAAACTAACCATGGGTTATAAATGATAACTTTCTATATCTAATTAAAACAATCTGTCATGTACACTCATGCAAAATAAGTACATAACTGTAAAAATGTGCTTTAGTAAGTAAATAAGTAATTTATCCATGCACTTGACCTTCTTTGTTTGTAATTTTTTTCAGATTAAAATTAATGCAACAATAAAACAAGAAGATGTCTATTTATATAATTGCACAGGTCAATTCCTGGAGTAACCATCCCCCCGGGACACCCCTGGGAATTTGCCTAATAGACAGTTCACAGGGGTCGGGAATTTACCTGTCATATACGTGTACAGGGGCCGGGTATTGGGCCCGGGTACGTGTACAGGGGCCGGGTATTGGGCCCGGGGATTTGACAAATGGTTTCACCTTTGCAAAACTTATTACCTGTGCCATGCGAATAAAGTTTTATAATATTCCATAGCAGCTTAATAGTATAATGTTATTAAATGAATATGCCTATGATATGCATTCATCGTCCCAGGGGTGGGGCATTTTCCACTCTCAGCTTGCCCAAGGGCCGTGCATTAGTCTCCTACTCCTAGTTGTGTCCCGGCACACTTCTTCTATTAACTGTGCACTATCGTAACCAGTCAAATCAAATGCCCAGGTGTGTTCCCGGGGGGGAGGGGGGGGTGATGGTTACTCCTGGAATTGACTCGTGCATAATATTTATTAAATTTCAATAAATTGACCACAATACAATAAAAATACAATAAAAACTTGTTTTATTGTTTTAAAACAAGTGGATCTCTCTGCTGGTTTGAAATGGGCTGTTATAACACTGAGTTGTCCATGATGAGGATTCCGTAGCTCGATTTGCAACAAAAACCCCAGGATCAGGCGATCAGCTCGTATGGGAATATGTACACGATCCAGTCGCGACGGCCAAAGACAGAAAAAACTTTGAAAATCGCACAGATATAAATTTTACAAAAATATTGAAACAACTCCTAAGTCTTCTAAATAATATTTTAACACTTTAACAAAAATTCGTTGAAAATATAATCTTTGATGGCGCAAATTCTTTCCAAGGTATTAGACGCCATTTTAGCGAGCGTCGAGTTGACAATAGTCGCTTCAATGGCCAATATCTCGAAAACTGCCGGGGGATCACCGGGATAATTCCAGCAGATTTAAAGCTTATATATTTTTCTTGATGGCTGCCAAAAATGAGAAAAATCGAACCATGAGAATTCTAGATATTTCATTTTAAACATTGTAAACATATTTAGACTTGAGTCAACACGTCGCGGGGAGTCGTCTAACTTCAAACATCAAAATAACATTGAAAACAACGTTTACCTTAGAGATTTTTGCAGATATCACCAGATCTTTAGCAGTAGTACTATTACACTTGAAATTTTGCAAGAAAATTTTAATATTAATGTTTTTTCTCGATTTATTTTCCGTCGAATACAAATTTTTCTGCCCAAATTCTGCAGAAAACACGATGGAAAATAGAGCGATCTCATTGGTCGAGAGCTCACGTGACAACTCGCTAATTGCTTGTCCGACCTCCTCTGCATTGTAAAGTAGTTTTAGCTCCAGTGGTGCGGTACTGTGGAACACCCTTCCAGCCGAGATACGACAAGCTAACACTTTACGTAAATTCAAGTCTGACTGCAGCAGCTTCGTACGATAATTTTCAAATTTTTATCTTTATATTAGTACTTGCACGGCACTCATGGAAAACAGGTATTTTTATGAATGGATATGTATATAAAATGTGTAATATGTAAGTTTTATTGTATTCTATAATTGGCGTGTAAAATCCTGATGAGTTCACCGTGGTTAAATAAAGTTCACTTACTCATTCACACAGCGTTCCATCGCATCCAATGCCGCGGCCTAACTCACTTCGCCATCTGGCTTGAATAAAGGTACGTTGGCAATTGATAAAACTAGAATAGTGAAGCGAATAGTGCGAATAGTGCGAATAGTCGACGAATAGTGCGAATAGTCCGCGAATAGTCGACGAATAGTGCGAATAGTCCGCGAATAGTCGACGAATAGTGCGAATAGTCCGCGAATAGTCGACGAATAGTACGAATAGTCCGCGAATAGTCGACGAATAGTGCGAATAGTCCGCGAATAGTCGACGAATAGAGCGAATATAGTCGACGAATAGTGCGAATAGTCCGCGAATAGTCGACGAATAGTACGAATAGTCGACGAATAGTGCAATAGAGACTTTGCAAGGCTTTCCACCGTGCTGTAGAACTAAATTTACCGAAGCGGGGCGGGGGGGGGGGGCTCTATTGACAAACATGAAATCGTGAAAACATTCGTTGATGTCAATGACGTCATACGTAATCGGTAAAAATTACGGGACCAACTACGGATCTGAGTTTTAACAAATATTTAACAGGAAGTAGAATGACAATCAGTGGCGCCGTGGGACCCATGTTTTTTTTGGGGGGGGGGGCAAGGGCAGTACTTTTCCGACAAACCGAAAAATTTTTCCGACAAACCAAAAAGTTTTCCGGACGACAACATTTTAAATCTTCCCCCCCCCGTCGACAACTTTGACAATTTCCGACAGCCTTGACAATTTTCCGACAATTTCCGGCAGCATTGGCAATTTTACGACGGGTGTCAACAATAGGGGAGGGCCATGCCCCCCCCTGCCCCCCCCGGCCACGGCGCCACTGATGACAATCACTAGACGTATGACGTCATTGACGTACGTCGACGATTGTTTTCACGATTTCATGTTTGTCAACAGAGCCCCCCCCCGGTAAATTTAGTTCTACAGCACTGCTGCAAAGCCTTGCAACGTCTCTATTGCACTATTCATACTATTCGTCGCCTATTCGTGGACTATTCGTACTATTCGTCGACTATTCGCGGACTATTCGCACTATTCGTCGACTATTCGCGGACTATTCGCACTATTCGTCGACTATTCGCGGACTATTCGTACTATTCGTCGACTATTCGCACTATTCGCTTCACTATTCTAGTTTTATCAATTGCCAGGTACGTTTACACCACGGGCAATAGGACAGGTGTAGTGTTGTTAAATAAAAAGTTAGAAATGGTATTGTACTTACCCATGTATTATAATTATGTTTAGAAGATCAGAATATTCATAAATCCTTATTTTGTTTCATAAATAGTTCTTTAATATTCGAAACAAATTCCATATCTGCTTCGTCTGCCATCGCCATGTTTACTCGTCCCAATCTACATGCTGCACGGCAATTTTTCTCGCTTGCTTATTATTTTGCCAGGAGGGGCGGCAATGCCGTGTAGTATGTAGATTGGGACGAGTAAACATGGCGGCGGCAGACAAAGTAGATGTGGAATTTGTTTCGAATATTAAAGAACTATTTATGAAACAAAATAAGAATTTATGAATATTCTGATCTTCTAAACATAATTATAATACATGGGTAAGTACAATACCATTTCTAACTTTTTATTTAACAACACTACACCTGTCCTATTGCCCGTGTTTACACGCTGCGATTTGTCGGGCCGATTTTGCTCGCTGTATGTAAATAACCTGTCGTGAGTACTCGCGTCAGCACCTTGCAATTCACAAAATCGGGAGAAAAATCTGTAACAAAACCACAGATTTTTCTCACGATTCAACGATTTTTCTTCCGTTGTAAAGTTGTTGAAAACTTTTCGCACGCAGAAAACTATAACATGAACAGACGAGAGAGCGGATAGCTTCAACTGAACGTTTAAATCGCTAAATGTCGAAGAAGGGGCATCGATTATTTACCAAAATCGGCCCGACAAATCGCAGCGTGTAAACGTAGCTTAAAAGGTTAAATTCAGAATCGTCCGCATATACATGAACATCTGGAAGATAATTCACATCATTTTCAGTTCCAGCCACAATTGTGAAAACAAGCTGCTTTCTCAATCCTAGGTTTTCTAAAGCCGTATCTAATCTAAGATAGATGAAGTATGGCCCTGACGCTTCCACTTTCTTCTTGGAATTTCTTTCTTCTCTCTCCATTTCCTCCGAAATGTCGCTCTCACTTTCTTCCTGAAAAGCAACCCATTTTTTTCACATTCCAATTTATCTTTATTTGCCATTCATCTTTACATTCACTTTCACCCTTGCATTCAGCCTCAGAACTCTCAGATGTAGTTTCATTCTCATCCTCGATTTCCTATTCAGACTCAAACTCGTCTTCATCAAAACTGCAAGAACTCGCTGACTCGTGCGGTTCAGGTAAGAGAAGTTCATCCACTTCGCAAACCCCATAGGCAAACACCTGTTTCTGGTTATTCTTGTCATGAAAGAAAACGAGAGAACCCGAGTCACCGCCTTCCAAGAATGGACCACCGCATCCCTTAACGGCGAATGTATCCTGGAATAATGGCTCCTGTTCTTGCTGTAACTAAAATCACAGGGAACAATATAGCCACGGGTTAACGCCGACGAAAAACCGGTTTTCTCCACTTCCACTAGATTACTATCACTCTCATACAATTCATCCCATATACTATCCCAATCAGGAGAAGTTGCATCCGCTATTTTGCAATCAATTTTAACGCCATCCAAAACTTTTAGAGACAAAATGTCACATTCGTTGTCAAAATAATAATTGTCAAACGGGCCACCAAGACGGGAGCAGTCCGTTCCATCGTCTCCAAATAAGATGTGGACATTGTCGTTCTCTGTATTGCCTCGTGTATTGCCTCGTGTTCCATAAGCTGGAAGTGAATTGCGCATCTTCTGAACATCTTCTACTTTATTGAATGCGGCGTTTAAACGATTTTCATCAGTTGCACAACCAACATGAAAGCAGGTGAGTGCATAATGTTGTCCATTGAGGGCGCAAAACATGGTTAAAGTCCCAGTTCCCCGGACCTGAGGTACATCAACTTTCTCGTTCTCTTCAGGGACTCGTAAAGGGTTTTGATTGGTATAACTGGAGTTACTGCAAGCTAATACACCACCACCAGGTGTCGGTGTGACAGAAGATGATTTACATCTCAATTTACTTAAACGAAAACCCAAATATTTGATTTTTAGTTTTCTTTCAGGTTCTCGAAGGAGTTCAAAGTGTTCCTTAGCGTCGTCACATTTGAATTTCTCTTAATTTAATTTTAATTTAATTTTTTAAATTTATAAACTTTGCCGATGAAACAGTACATTACATGACAGGACAAAAACAAACGTACATAATGAAATACAGTAGGTACATGACCACGGCTGGTTGACCGCAACAGCGAATAGCCAATTACTGCGGGCCCGACACAAAACTATCATTACACATATATATATACGTACATGCGTTACAGGTGCGATCTTATTTACAGTTCAACTGCAACACGATATTGGACGTAACAGGCTTCGAATACAATTACATTTCAGACATATACTAGTTAAATGATCGAGAGTTTTCAGGATCATAATTAATGTTCAGTGATGTAAAGTAATACTTGAGCAGATCTGATTTAAATACAGAAATGCTAGTATCCTTAGTAAAGTTCAGTTCATCTGGAAGATAGTTCCAAACTCGGCACGCTCTTACGAGGAAAGATTTTTGGTAGGTGGTATAGTTCTGCATTTAGGGATGACATATTTCAGTTTGTTTGATGTTCAAGTTCACGTCGTACAAACGATATCTTCACTCCTCTTTTAACTGTGAGGTACAAATGTGGACGAGGGATCTTTTTGTTTCGACCAACCAGCCCATACGCTCCACACAACCAAGGCAAACTATGCAGAAGCAATGCCATATTAATAATGCAAAAACAGCCACCAAAAATTCAATTCATAGTTCTAGATTCATAAAAAACAATACCATTTCTCCAAAATTTATTCATTTCACAAAGTAAGTATGTTAAGCTACGTTTACACGCTGCGATTTGTCGGGCCGACTTTGGTAAATAATCGTTGCCCCTTCTTCGACATTTAGCGATTTAAACGTTCAATTGAAGCTGTCCGCTCTCTCATCTGTTTATATTATAGTTTTCTGCGTGCGAAAAGTTTTCAACAATTTTACAACGAAAAAAAATCGTTCAATCGTGAGAAAAATCTGTGCTTTGTTACAGATTTTTCTCCCGATTTTGTGAATCGCAAGCAGGGACGTCGCGAAGGTCAAAAAAATTTTCCGGATTAATATAGTCAAAAAAAATTTTCCGGACTAATATAAGCATAATCAAAAATTTTTCGACCAATATAAGCAATGCTTCCGATTTTTTCACCGCAAATGTAACTGAACCTTTAAAATTGCGAATCATTTCATTTATTTTAACGTCTTCGACCATCTTATATCCCAAACTTTTACCAAATTTTTCCGAGTTTTACCTTAAATTTTAAGCAAATATCAGTTCCATTTTGACCAACTTTGGGCAAATATCAGTTCCATTTTGACCAACTTTGACCAACGTTTGAATTATTGGGGGGGGGGGGCGTGTTACACCCCCCTCCCCCACATCCCTCCTATAGCGACGTCCCTGATCGCAAGGTGCAGACGTGAGTACTCACGACAGGTTATTTATATACAGCGAGCAAAATCGGCCCGACAAATCGCAGCGTGTAAACGTACCATTATAGGGACGTGCAAGGATGCATATCTTATTTTGAAGGGTATTTGCCAGTGTAGGTAGCATAAATAATAACAAAACTTGGGTTGATAAGGATACAACTACCTGAAAAATACAAGGAGAACTTCGACGTTTTGAGTGAAGGCTCAATAATTGATTCATTGCGTAGAATTCGTGGTCATATCAGCTAGGAATATTACCAGAATAACAGAAAAGCGTTTAGAAGCGAAGGCACGACGTCGACGTTTCGAGCGAAGGCACTACGTCGGGAGTTTGGTTAGTAACTCCAGACCAAGGACCTTCGCTGGAAACGTCGAAATTCTGCTTATATTTTTCAGGTAGTTGCATCCCTATCAACGAAAGCTTGTTCATATTATTGCCACTACCTACACTGGCACAGACACTTCAAGATTAGATTCTGTGGTTTTCTGATGGATGTGAATGAGTAGATGAGTTATGAATGTTCTGAGTATATGTA